ATCTGTGGTCCCACTATTACTGATAAAGTCAAGCACAGGCCTCTCACTGCCACTAAGCTGACCCAAGCCTACTTGGTGACCCACTGCAAGGGCACCTCCCTGGGCCTGCCCTCCTGCAGCACCAATGGACTCTCTGCTTGGTTTCAGCGGTGCTAGACATGCCCATTTGCACCTAGCTGACCCAAGTTACCGAGAAAATCAGGTGCTGAAAGTAGATCCTTGGGGTGATCGCTGATATGCTGGTGTGGTTGCTGGTATACTGGTGTAATATGTCTTCTTCCTTAACCCAAGAAGGTCTCAGATGGCCATTCTCACCTGCCAGTCCCTCCTCCAGGGAAGTCTCTGATGGCCTTTCTCAGCTGCCTGTCAATGCTCCCCTCAGAATAAATCTTCTGATCTTGTTACTTTTTTTTCCCCTGTACCTTTCTCTTTCCCAGTCCTACTCCCCTGAGCTTGGTGCACTCTGACTCATTGAGCTGTTCAGAGCACCAGAATCCCTAATTCAAGCTAATGTACCTAGTTTCTCAAGCGCTAAGATGCTACAGAGAAATAGCGTGGTGATTACTGATGAGACTCCATTTTGAATCCTCAGTTTCTTTTTTTGTTATGGATCTGTTCAAATTTTCCACCTCAGTCTGTTAGTTTAGGTAAGTGGTGTGTTTCTAGAAATCTATCCATTTCTTCCAGATTTTCAAATTTTTTAGAGTACAGTTCTTCATAATATCTGATACCGTCCTTTTTATTTCAGTCGTTTTTGTTGTGCTGTTGCCGACTTCATGTCTTACTCACATTATTTGTATTCTCTTCCTCTTTTCCTTTGTTAAATTTGCCAGTGGTTTGTCAATTTCATGAATCACTTCAAAAAACCAATTTCTAGTCTTGTTGATTATTTCTATTGTCTGTTTTCTGTTTCATTGATTTCTATTTGCATCTTTATTATTTCCTTTCTTCTGGTCATTGTAGGTTTTTCTTGCTGTTCTTTTTCTAATTGTCAGAGATGTTCGTTTAAAGTGTTGATTTTGGCTCTTTTTTTTTTTTGATGTGTACATTTATTGCTATAGATAGGCCTCTGATCACTCCTTTTGCTGTGTCCCAAAGATTTTGGTATGTTATGTTTTCATTCTCTTTTAATTCAAGGAATTTTTATATTTCATTTTATATTTCTTCTTTTACCCAGTCGTTCTTAAATAGGGTATTGTTTAGTTTCCATGTGTTTGCTCTTCTTCTGTTGATTTTCCTATTATTGATTTCTAATATTATAGCAGTGTCATCTGAGAAGATGCTTTGCAGTATTTCAGTGTTTTAAAATTTATTAAGGCTTGCTTTATGGCCTAACATATGGTCTGTCCTGGCGAATGTTCCATGTGCACTGGCAAAGAATGTATATTGTGCTGTGTTGGGTGAAGTGTTCTATGGATGTCTATAAGGTCAAGTTGTTGGATTGTATTGCTCAGCTCTTCTGCATCTTCATTGAGTTTCTTTCCAGTTCTGTCTGTGATTGAAAGTGGTGTATTAAAGTCTCCTACTATGACTATAGCGTCATCCATTTGCCTTTTCGATTCTGTTAAAGTCTGATTCATGTATTTTAGGACTCTTTCATTGGGTCCATAAATATTTATTATGGTTATATCTTCTTGTTCAATTGATCCTTTAATCATTATGTAATGTCTTTCCTTTTCTCTTATGGTAGTTTTTGTCTTAAAGTCAGTTTTATCAGAAATTTATATTGCCGGTCCTGTTCTTTTTTGGTTGCCATTTGCTTGATAGATCTTTTTCCAACCTTTGATTTTTAGTTTGTTTTTGTCTTTGTCTCTAAGGTGTGTCTCTTGTAGACAGCATATTGATGGATTATGTTTTCTTACCCATTTTGTAACTCTCCTTCTCTTGAGTGGTGCATTTAATCCATTGACCTTAGGTGTAATTATCTTACAAGTATGAATTGGTTGCTGTCATTTTGTTATGTGATTTCTTGTGGTGTTCCTGGTTTCTTTGTTCCATATTATTTTCTGTGCTGAGCTCATTTTGTTTATGAATTGTGTTATCATTTCCTTCATTTCTGCTGTTTTAATTTGCTAAATATTTGTGCTTGTCCTCTTTTTTATTGTGATGTGAAGGTTTATCATTTTTCTTTGAGGTTATTCTGTGATTTATAATTTTCTCTCTGAGTTTAGAACACACCATTCTGTGTTGCAACTCTCTTGACTTCCTTACCATTTAGAAGTTCTGTAACTACATGGTATTGTCCCTCTTTTTGGTTTGTGGTTGTCCACATTTGCCAATCGATTTATCTGGTTCCCTGTTTACAATCTTGTAAGCTTATTTTGCTTTGAATACTTCCAAAACAGTGTTGGTTTTTGGCTTATGTGATCTTGTGTATTAATAGTCATTTGTTGTTGCTATTATTGGTTCTCTGTTCAAAGGACTCCCTTTAGTATCTTTTGTAAGATTGGTCTGGTTTCAACAAATTCCCTTAATTTCTGCTTATCTGGAAATGTCCTAATTTTACCATCATATTTGAGGGACAGTTTTGCTGGGCATATAATTCTTGGTTGGAAATTTTTCTCTTTCAGGGTTTTGTACATACCATACCATTGCCTTCTCGTTTACATGATTTCTGCTAGGAAATCAGAGCTTATTCTTATTGGTTGTCCTTTGTAGGTAACTTCATTTTTCCCATGTTGCTTTTAAGATTCTTACTTTGTCTTTGGTTTTGATGAGTTTGATGATGATATGTCTTGGTGATTTTCTTTTGGGACCTATCCTGTTTGGGGTTCATTTGACTTCCTGAATGGATATATTCTCATTTTTCATCATATCAGGGAAGTTCTCCTCTAACAAATCTTGGACAATTTTGTCATTGGTTTTGTTTTTCTCTTCCTGTCCTGGAATTCCAATTATACATAGATTATTCCTTTTGATATCCCACATGAACCTTAGGCTTTCTTTATTTTGTTTTGATTTTTTTTCTGATTGATCCTTTTCCAAGGAAGTATGCAGGTATTTGTCTTCAATCTCATTAATTCGTCTTCCATTGATTCGATTCTACTCCTTTGCTCTTTCTATATCTGAAAATTTTGTATTAATCTTCTGGGTTTCTAGCTATAGATTTTGTATCATTTCTAATTTTGCCATTTTGTTGTTACAGTTTCTTCCAAGATTGTTCTAGGATTTTGTCTGTATTTTCCTTAATTTTGTCAGTGTTTCCCTTGATCTGTCTCTCAGTCCTTTGAAGGTAACTAAGTACAGTTCTTTTGAATGCCTTATCAGGGAGTGCCAATGCTGCTGCTTCCTCAGGATGGGTTTTGGGTCTGTATCCTGCTCCCTTGTTTGTACCACTTTATCTTGCTCCTTTGTGTGGTCTGTGGTGGTCTGTTGTCTCCAGGACATTGTGACATTGTTGTATTTAGATGTCTGTTAACTGTGTGTGAAGAAAAGCTAAGGGTGAGTCAGGCTCTTCTTGTTGGTCATTTGTGATTGGCCAATTGTTGGAGAGGGAAGTGGTAACTCTCACTTAGTAAGTGGAGCTGCACAAAGTGATAGTATGGTTGAATTGTATGAGGATGGTTGGTGTCTCTCACTCAGACAGAAACAACAATCAAAAAGTCATCAAAAAAGTAAAAGCAAGTGGACAAAAAAAAAACCACCACATAAACAAAGGAACAATCATGAAAAAAGAAGAAGAAAAACCCCGAAATATCTGGGGAGGGGTTAATAAGAGAAAAGAGGTCGAGTAGAGGAATAAGAAAAAAATTGGAGAAATGCAAAAAGAAAAATAGGAATGGAGTTAACCAAAGGAAAGAAAAAACTGAGAACCAGGAATAGGGAAGAAAGAAAAAGCTGAAAACTTAACTTGGGAAGGGAAGAATAAAGAATAATAATAAAGATGAAGGAAAAAAGAAGAAGATGAATTTTAAAACAGACAAAAACAAACTAAAGAAAATGAAATAATATCCTGGGGCAGGGCACCCAGGCTCTGTCGGAGTACACAGACTGGGATGGAATTCTTGCTAGTGAGTGAGGGGTGGCTGCACCTCCATTCACCAAGAGGGTGTGGGATATAACAGTAACAAGAATATCTCAGCTTTCCAGTTCATGTCCAGAATGTCCTTGCAGTCCCTGGCAAGTGGAACCTCTTCTTAGGTCCCTGAAATCTGAGAAAACGCTGTCACTTTAAATATCCAAAATGGTCGAACTACTTGTAAACAGTCATAATGGCTGCACCCTCTGGATAGCCAAAAATCTACCACTCAGTCCATCTCCTTCTTCGCTGTTTCGCCTTTTATTCCCTAGCTACCACTGTAGTTCTCCATGCAGCCCCTGACTAGCAGGCCTGATTTTGGGTCAATTCTTAAGTCACCACTTGGCAATATCCAAGCTGTCCGTGCCATCAGGATCGCTAACAGACCACAGATCCATATGTCTCCTTTTTTTGGTGTTTTCATGCAGGTTCTTCTACTAGTTGGAATTTGGTCTACTTCTCTATCCTTCCTTTCAAAGCTCAGGGCTCCAGAATTATCTTCTGTGTCTGTGTCTGTGTCTGTCTGTGTCTGTGTTAATTAGGACCCTTTTCTTTGTTGAAGAGGATCTGTGTAGTATGTCTGCCTATTCCACCATCTTAGTGGAACTCAGTTTTCAGTAATTCTTAACCATTTTGGCAATTAATTGCAGAACTTGTTTTCAAGATTTTTTGTTTTCAGTGTTGCAAATCAGAAATTTAAGCTGTTTTATGAAATGTAAACACATGTAGCTGAGTATCAAAGTGAGTCATGTTACTTTCTTTAAATCTATGTGTATGTTACTGGTTTAACTGATTTTTTTACACCTAATTTTCTGAATCAGCCAGAGTTGGTTACCATATTGATGTTACAATTGATGTTTATCCTATAAATGGCCTAAAATGATGGGATCTTTAAAGAAAGAATATTTTAAATGCCTAAAGGTTGTGATTATTTAAAAGACTAGCAGGAGAAATACTATTTTGTGAACTATAATTGTTACAGATGAATGGTCTCGGCCTATATTTGGTCTTACCTCAAACTACAAAGGGATGACAAGAGAAGAAAGAGAACAGAGAGATCTAGAACAAATGCCTCAACGACGAAGAATGAACAGGTATGAGGGAACAGGTATGAGTAAGTGAAATAAATGTTATTGGACTAACTCAATTTTTTTTGTAAATATGAACATTAGGAAACCTGCAAATGCTAAGGTTTTTGTCTTTTTTTCTCAGCTTGATATGCCTGTCTAGTTGATAATATTCTTTTAGCTTAACATGTAGTAAAGATCCCGCCTCACCTCACTTTAGTTGGTCAGATTGCTAAATTTGGCCTCTCAGTTCCAGAGGTTGCTTCTTCCAGAGGTTCCAGCCACTTGCCAAAAAAACAACTTTCTCAGTCCCATTTCCAAATTCCTAGAAGGAAACTTGTATCAATATACTGACCATAGTTTTATCTAGGAGCACAGGCTTATAATTATAAATTTGACTGTTAGGGTTCACCATGATAAAACCTGTTATACTACAAATAAATACTAACCTAAATAATAGTTTTAAAAGATTAACAGTTATTTTCCCTGATCCAGTGTAAAGAAGTTGTTGTGTTATAAATTAATTTGATATTTAAAGTTATTTGGTTTTTTTGTTTTGTTTTGTTTTTGCTCAGTTACAAGGTTTTCAGATTTCTAGTATTTCACTGATTTAACTTTTCTCCCCAGCACTGGTGGTCAGACACCCCGAAGAGACTTGGAAAAGGTATTGACAGGAGAAGAAAAGTAAGTTTATGCTTTATTTTTTTTCCTCGGCCTTATATAGACAATATCTGCTTGATGCTTTGTTTTAAGAAAAATAGCAAATGAAACGATATTATGCTCAAATTGAGGGAATGCTTTTCAGTTGAACTTTGAATATATACAATGAACAAAACATTTTATTTGGTGCTCTGGGAAGAAAGAAGGAAAATTGAGGAATAGTTCATTCAGTAAAGATTTTGTTGCTGTTTGTTATGCTGAGCCCTGCACTACGCTCTGGGAATACAGAATTGATTAAACATAGTCCATCCTCTCCAAAAGATTAAGTTTTCTACAGGGATTGTAGGCAAAGGGGAGAGCTTAAGCAAAGGTGTGGGGTAAATGTACAAGGCCTATTTCAGGAATGGCAAGTAGACTGAAGTAGTTGGGGATGGTCCCCGAGATGAAAAGATAAGGTTAGAAATGAAAATATGGAAAGACTTTAAATCAGCATGAGGAATTTTCACCTCTCTTTGTAGCTCCATAGAAAGTTTTAAGCATGGACATAAGATTTGGTTTGGGATGTTTATGCCAGTCACATCATTAGGGTAGGTTGTAGGGCAGGGGAAGAGAAGACATGAGTATACTTAAACTGAGACAGTAATGGTGATTGAGAGGAGAGAAGACAGAATTGCCAGGAGTTGGTGACTGAGAGGAATAAGAGTAGCTAGAGTTGAAGACTCCAACCAAAATTTTAATCTGTGTAGCTAAAACAATGGTAATACCATTCACTAAAATCAGGAAGGAGTTCATTTGAGGGCATAGATGAATTCTGTTTTGAGCTTATAAAATGTGAGATACCCAATGAGATATTCCCAAAAATGTCTTGGATCTAGAACTAGGTATTTAAAGAGATACCTGTGCTAGAGACATAGATTTGATAGTTTTTTCCATAGAAAAGATTGTTGAATTAAGAGAGTGTAGACTAAGAATCTAACTGGACTTTTGAAAAGAACTTTGAAAAGTGGTGGACTAGGCAGACGAGCCAGTAAAGGAGAGTGTATCAGCTTGGCCTGTGCTTTGGAGGAGAACCTAGAAGAAAATGAGGCTGCAGTGGGGAAGGAATGGTCAAGGGATGTAAGCAGTTGGCAGAGGCTGCAAAGGGATTTTGTGCATGTGAGTTTTGGCAATCAGGACAGCACCCAGATCAAAGAAAGTGAATGAGAGATGAGCTGGAGGGAGCAGTTGTAGTCTGTTAAGTATGGTTAAGTTTGATGAGACAGACAGGGATTCAGGGAAGGGAAGCAAGAGTTATGAGAAGTTATAAGAGATTCATTGAGGTAACCAGCTATTCTCTCTCTCTCTATCTCTGTACACACAAATACACACCCACATATATGCACACACATACATATGCACATATATATGAGTGTTACAGAGGCTTAATGGAGTAAATCCTACAAGGGAATAGAAACAGTTTTGAATATTCTACCCATTATGAACCCCCATACACATGTACACTTATCCTCCATTTACTGCTACAGAAGACAGTTACCTGAAGGTTGACTCATCTGAAAGCACAGACATTACATATAGATAGACTTAATTTTTCATTCTGCCAGGGAGCTCTGGTGGCACAGTACATAATTCTTATTTGACTGCTAACCAGAAGGTTGGCTGTTTAAACTCACCAGCCACTCCGCAGAAGGAAGACAGGACAATCTTTTACTGCCTCGGAAACCCAGTGGGGGTTGCTGTGAGTCAGAACTGACTGGATGGCAGTGGGTTTGTTTTTTTCTTTGTTTAGCCTGGCATAGTAGTTTTCAAATTTGTGCATATATGGAAAATAATTTGGCAGTTTCTTACAAAATTAAATATGCAACTACTGTATGACCTAGCAGTTACATTCTTGGACATGTATCCCAGAGAAATGAAAATTTACATTCATGCAAAAACTTGTACATAAATGTTCATAGTGCCTTTATTCGTAAAAGCCAAAACCTGGAAACCACCCATATGTCCTCCAACAGGTGGATAGTTAAACTGTAGTATACTATGGAATACTGTTGTTATTAGTTGCTGTTGAGTCATCCCTGACTCATGATGACACCATACAATATTAGGTTGGACCATTGTGATCCATAAGGTTTCCCACTGGCTGATTTTCAGAAGTAATGGAATATTACACAGCAATGAAAAAGTGGCACAGTTTGGCCCATGAGCTTTCACTAAAACTACAATTTAAAAAAGAACAAAATTGAAATATGCAAAACCTTGGATTTTCAGTGCTGAGTGATAAAAAGCCAATCTCAAAACATTATACACTGTATGATTTCATTTATAAAACATTTTAAAATAACAAAATTACAGAAATAGAGACTAGATTAGTGGTTACCAGGGATTAGGGATGAGGGAGGGCAATGAATGTGGTTATAAAAGGGCAACAGAAGAAATCCTAGTGGTGATGGAATTGTCCTGTGTCTTGGTTGTGTTGGTTGATACACAGACCTTCATGTGTGATAAAATTGCATGGACATAGTGCCTTAAGGCATTTGACTGCTAACCAGAAGGCTAACAGTTCAAACCCCCCAGCCACTCCTTGGAAGGAAGGTTGGGCAATCTACTTCTTTAGTGATACTGCCTCAGAAACCCAAGGAAGGTTTGTATGAGTTGGATCCAACTGACAGCAGTGAGTTTGGTTTGGTTTTGATTAAATACACATACACAAATGAGCACAAGTTGAACTGAAGAAATTTAAATAATAATATTGATAGATTATATTGACATCAGTATTCTAGTTGTCATGTTGTACTATAATTTTGCAAGTTGTTACTTTTGGGAGACACTGGTTAAAAGGTACAAGAGATATGATTATTTCTTACAACCACGTATGAGCCTACAGTGATCTCAAAATAAAAACTTTTTAAGAAAGAAAACACAAAAAGTTACTCTTGGCACATTCAAATCCCTGTAAACTACTTCAGAGCATACACAGGACTTTGGGGGCTCATTTTGACTCTGTCTGATTTTTCATGTCGTAAGTGAGCCCCTGAGTAACTCCACTAGATTGGGGAAGTTGGGATTCAGAGCCCTGATAGGACTAGCCTTGAAAAGGAGAAAGGCATGATTCTCTCTGAAGCTGAGGAGAGGTTTGAAACATTCATGAAAATGCAGAGGAAGTTATCTTTGGTAAAGAAGTTGAGAAATTCATATGTGTGAATAGCTAGGTCTATTAAGACAGCCTGAGGGTAGAATATGAGGAGAAGAATAGAGGAGGTTTGAAACAGGTAGACAGCTGAACCTGATGGCATGGATAAAAGAATTGTGCATTCTCAGTTATGATAAGTTGCTTAAGAAGTGTGATTTTCCTTTTCCTTTCTCAGGGCTCTTAGACCTGGAGATCCTGGTTTCTGTGCTCGAGCAAGGGTTCCGATGCCCTCAAACAAGGACTATGTTGTCAGGCCCAAGTGGAATGTGGAAATGGAGTCATCCAGGGTAAGCAAGCAGAGGAAACAACAAGGTTGATCTCAGATGGAAGTTGCTATTTTATTTTATGCTTCAGGTTAATAACCCTTTGGAGCAATTGAGGTTACCTGAGTTAGAGATCTCTTCTGATGTCTTATCTAGCCAAATCAGAAACAGAAGGAAAGAAATATTAAGGTTCACTGCTGTTAAGTTTTTCTTCAGACTTAAAGCAAATTATCCAGTCAAGAACTTCTTAATAATCCTTCTATTTCAAGATTTTGAAGCCCAGAGTGTTCAGACAATCATGTTTTTAGAACCATGACTAAAAGAACTTAACCTGCTTCCTCACATGTAACCTTCCTTTTCTCTCCAGCTGTTTAAGCAATTGTGAAATATTTAGGATAGACTTTTCCTCTGCCATCATTGTAATATTACTTAGAGATCTTCAGTGTTTCTCTGTAATCTTTATTCTCCTATCAATCTACTCCTTCTAGTCTGGTATTCTTAAAAAGGGCCTAAGCCGGTTGGAAAAGCATAAGAGGCGATTTGCAGAGCAGAAACGACTCAGCAAAATGCATCGTGCTGTCAAGTTCAGCATTGAAGGCAACAGGATGCCCCTGTAGGCCTAGTCCTACCAGATTGTGTCAGAGAGGTATCCCAAAAAAGCATGTGCTATGCATGTGCTTTAATTATCAACCGTCACAGAGTGAAAATGTGTGGCTTGTGTACAGCTTCCTTAACAAGAAAGCCAGGCCTACTTTTGGTTTCTGAAATAATGATTCTAATAGGCACTTTGAGGCATTTAAGTCCTCCTGAATATTTGGAAATTGACAAGGAAGTCCCTTCATTTATCTGTGCCCTAGCGACTAAAAGATTATTACTTCTCTCATAAGCATTCTAGGGTTCTTAGCTGGAACACATTTTTATTAAGGCTTTTGTTAGGACCCAGAAATAGGTGATCTGCAATACAGGCATATAAACTGTTAGTGACTTGTTGGTGGGAGAGATGTGGCTTCTTTGTCTTTTGTCAGTACTCAAATACCTATTTCAGGAATCACTGTATAAAGTGTTTACTGAATATTTAGGAAATAGATTTGTTTAATATATATTCAATATATACACAGAAATGAGAAAGAGTTTGGAACATTCATAAAGCTAGACTTACCCACCAAGCTTTGAAATGAAAAATGGCACCTTGTTGCAATGCACCCAGAGAGGCTGTATGCTGCATTCCTTTTGTAGCACATCTGAGACCTTGTTTGGCACTTACTTCCATCAATTCTCCTCTCACTCTCCCTCCAGTTTACTATTAAGTGACTATCAAGGCAAAACAACTTTCTTACTTACTGAGAATAAAGGGTAGAGGAGTACCATTTCATTGCCAACAACTTCCTCCTTTATAATTCCTTCCCTTTTTTTCTTACTTTCACCTATATCCATGCCCCTTGGCCACCTCTCCTTGGGATGCCGTCTCTCCATCATTTCTTTTCTTATCTTTTTCTACTTGTTTTTTTAACAGTCTGTTCCCTCCTTTTATCTGTTTCAGAATACTTTTCTTTCCCAACACTTTATTTTGATATTTCAGAGCTACAGTGTGACGTAGAAAATGTGAAACAAAATCTTAGCAGCCAGTCTGCTTTGGAAGGAAGTCTTGTGCCCTGAAGGGCACTGTGCCTATCCGCTGATGTTGCTGGTTCCAGTCCAACCCTCCTTTAGGTGATAGGGAGGAGGGAAGAGGTGGCTCTACCTCCTGCTAGAGCAGAAAGATGACCAGCATAAGGAAAGACAGAAGTTCATGATAAGCTGCTTTCTTTTTACTCCCAACATACCCCAAAATCATAATCTGCTATTTATCTAGGCCTGAATCCAACCTGTTAGTGCTCAGTCAGAAAACTAATGTGTGTTTTGAGCTGGTGATGTCACCCATGCTATGTACCTGCTTATTGTCCTTAAGGGAGTTCTGGTGATATAGTGCCTAAGGCATTTGATTGCTAACCAGAAGGCTGTTGATTCAAACCCACCTGCCACTCTTCAGAAGGAAGATTGGGCAATCTACTTCTGTAGAGATACTGCATCAGAAGCCCAAGGAGGGGTCGCTATGAGTCAAATTGACTCGATGGCAGTGAGTGCGGTTTTTGGTTTGTTTATATTGTCCTTAAATCACCTGATACTATTACCACAGTCAGGAAGATTTCTTGCATATTCATTGAGGGCTTCCACATTGCACAAACACTAATGAGTATTATTTAAAAACATAAATTGTTTAAGAAGAAAATTTGAGCTTCCATGAAACTTTTTGTTTTCACATATCATTTTTATTTTTAAAATTATATAAGTAAATATAAAATACTATACAGTAAATCATCTTCCCAAAGTAACTGCTCTTCTGTAAGTAGTCATTCTTAACAATTTGATGTTTTATATGTATTTCCAGTAATGCTTCAAATTTAAGTTTTGGTTTTAATAATAGGAAAGTTTGATATTATAACGATAAAAATTCATCCATGCTTCTACCATTTAAAAGCAGAGTTTGACTCATTTTTCCTTTTTCTGTTTATATCTTAAATATAATTAAAAGGATACAAAATACAATTTTGATCACTTCTAGAAATTCTACATTCTCTTTTTAAGAAGTAGTAAGCCACTTAGATCAAGAAACAATTTTGTTTTCTTTGTACAATATTTGTTTTTGTGTTGTGTTTGCTTAGTTAACTTAAATCTAGTTGATTACACATAATAGTGATAATGGTAATAGTAAAAAACAAAAACCAAACTCAGTGCTGTCAGGTCAATTCGACTCATAGCAACCCTTCCTTGGGTTTCCAAGGTGGTATCTTCACGAAAGTAGTTTGCCCAGTCTTCCTTCTGTGGAGTGGCTGGTAGGTTTGAACTGCCAGCCTTCTGGTTAGCAGTCAAATGCCTTAGGCACTACATCACCAGAGAACTGATAATTATTTTGAGTACTGACTATGATGTCATTACATCATTTACTTCTAGCAGTCCTGTGAGGAATACAGACCAAACCAGTGACTTGCCCAGGGTTACAGAACCTGCTGAGTGAAAGCAGGGACTCAGCCCAGGTCTGAGCTCTAGAACTCAAGTGCATACAGGTTTGCTTTACAAACCCTCTAACCTCTCTCATTATACTTCAGGGTTTTTCTTGGGTGACTTTCCTTTGTCTTAAAAAGATCCTTGCCTTTTATGGCAGCACGGTTTGAAAGTATGTCACATGGTCAACCCCAGTTACGGTCTTTTAAAGGGAAATGCAGATTATCAAAATGCCATCTGATGGAACTGGAGAGATCATCGTCAAAATTTTTTGCCCTTTCTCCTTTTCAATGGACTATCTCAAAATTCAAAATAAGGCACAGATAACAAAAGCATTAATCTCCTGGAGAGAGTCAGTATGTGTCTGTGTTGCTGCTGTGTGTGCTTACCCTGTGTTCTGAGGGCTCTGAAGCAGATTCTGGTCATTCTAGCACTTGGAGTTCTTCTGATGACTAACTTAAAGATGTAAGAAGATGAAAGACAAAAATAGATCTATGTGTTTCAATTACTGTTCTTTAATTTTCCCCCGTTCTTAGTTTCAGGGCACCTCCAAGAAAGGTATCAGTCGACTAGATAAACAGATGAGAAAGTTCACAGATATCAGGAAAAAAAGCAGATCTGCACATGCAGTGAAAATCAGCATCGAAGGCAATAAAATGCCATTGTGACCTTGCCTGGAATGAACCCACATCTCTAAAAAATCCATGAAAGACTTTGGAGGAAGAAGATGACATTTAAAATTTTTTTAGTGTATGTGTAAATGGTTGGTTCCACTTGTATCAAATGTTGTCATAGGACTAGCAAGTTCTCTCAATTATATTTAAAACACTTATTGTGTACTTTGTACAAAGGAATACTAGTCTTACTGCTATAAACTTTACAAAATAAAATTCCACTCTGGTTTTGCTGGCCTGTCTCTTTATTGTCTGAGCAGATGCATTTCTCAGTGGAAGCAAAAATAGGCTCTTCCAAATTGAAAAATTCTTAAACCAAACTGTGGTACATACATACAATAGAATAGTATGCAATGCTAAAGAATAATGTAGAATCTGCAAAACACCACATAACATGGATGAACTTGGAGGACATTATGCTGAGTGAAATAAGTCAATCACA